CGCACCTGGGGGGGGGTGACGTAGTCGGCGGTGTCCAGCACCCGCCCGGCATAGCGCCCGATGCCCTTCACCTTGGTGACCACCGAGGACTCGATGACGGTGTCCCGCACCTGGTAGGCTTTCTCATGGAGGAACACCCAGCTGGGACAACACGGGGGTGACAGTGGGGACAGACACCCCCGCCGCCCCCCGGGGACCTGCCACCGCCCCCCGCCCACTCAGAGCCCTGCAGCACCCGCTCGTCGCCCCCTTGGGCCCCTCCGGTGGCCACTGTCACCCCCGGGGAGCACCTGAGGGCTGAGACCCCCTGTCACCCGCTGTGGCCGGGCTGCTGCCGCTGCACCTCTGTCACCCTCAGACACTGTCACCCCCCTGTCACCCGCACCGGGAGGCTCTCCTGGCTGTCCCCCTTGTGTCACCTGCACCGCCAAGCCCTGTCACCCCACTGACACACTCTTGTCCTCGTCCCCACCCTGTCACCTGCGGGACATGCTCTCCTGGCTGTCCCCATCACGTCACCCGCACCATCGCCCTGCTGTCACCCGCACCAAAGATGCTCTCCTGGCTGCCCCCCTTGTGTCACCTGCACCACCCCCCTCCTGTCACACACACCGGCACACTCCCCTCGTTGTCCCCATCGTGTCACCCACACCGCCGAGCTCCTGTCACCTGCAGCGGTGCACTTTCCTGGCTGTCCCTGTCCCCTGCACCAGGATGCTCTCCTCGTTGTCCCCCTTGTGTCACCTGCACTGCCATGCTTTCCTCGCTGTCCCCATCGTGCCACCTGCACTGACACACTCTCCTGGCTGCCCCCCTTGTGTCACCTGCACCACCCCCCTCCTGTCACACACACCGGCACACTCCCCTCGTTGTCCCCATCGTGTCACCCACACCGCCGAGCTCCTGTCACCTGCAGCGGTGCACTTTCCTGGCTGTCCCTGTCCCCTGCACCAGGATGCTCTCCTCGTTGTCCCCCTTGTGTCACCTGCACTGCCATGCTTTCCTCGCTGTCCCCATCGTGCCACCTGCACTGACACACTCTCCTGGCTGCCCCCCTTGTGTCACCTGCGCTGTCACCCCCCTGTCACCTGCACTGACATGTTCTCCTCACTGTCCCCATCATGTCACCTGCACCACCACCCTCCTGTCACCCGCACCAGGACGCTCTCCTCCTTGTCCCCATCGTGTCACCTGCACCGAGATGTTCTCCTGGCTGCCCCCCTTGTTGTCACCTGCACTCCCACCGCCATCACCTGCACCAACACACTCTCCTGGCTGTCCCCCCTTGTCACCTGCACCACCACCCTGCTGTCACCGCACTGACACGCTCTTCTCCTTGTCCCCATCGTGTCACCCACACTGGGATGTTCTCCTGGCTGCCCCCCTTGTTGTCACCTGCACTCCCACCGCTGTCACCTGCACCAACACGCTCTCCTGGCTGTCCCCATCATGTCACCCGCACTGTCACCATCCTGTCACCCACACTGACACGCTCTCCTGGCTGTCCCCCTCCTGTCACCCGCACCGGCACGCTCTCCTCGCTGTCCCCACCGTGTCACCCGCGCTGTCACCCTCCTGTCACCCGCACCGGTATGCTCTCCTGGCTGTCCCCCTCGTGTCACCCGCACCGGCACACACTTGTCACCCCTCCTCTGCCTGTCACCCCCCCC